AAACAGATTAATTGGATTTCCATTATTTCTTATGGGGAAAATTAATTCGGAAATCGTCAGATTCGGGTTTAGTCACTCTCTCTGGAACAGATTAATTACGAAAACTGGGGGGGGGGGGTTTCCACTGTACCAGTTTTTCCCATGCAACTTGAAATTGAAAAATTAGTTTTTGTTGGTGTTGAAAATGTGCTCCATTAGACAGTGTTATGTGAATGTCATCTGTATATTGTATATTATCTGGAAACATAAACACATATGCAGTTTAATGTGATCCTTTATTGACAACGTTTCACCCACACAGTGGGCTTTTTCAAGTCACAAACAGATCTACCTGGGGTGGAAGGTACGGGAGCATTTATAGTCATGTTCAAAATGTTGAGGTCAGGTGGAGAATGCTGCATCTGATGATCCACTGGGTTGGGTTATAGAGTCTTCGGTAGTTTGGCAGGGGTATTGGACAAGTTGTGAATAGACCTTCTGCAGTGTTCTATGTTCTTATGTGGGATAGCGATGAAAAAGTTTCTTGGCAAGTGGTTCAGCTATGTTATAGAAGCCATTGTTCTGGTTGAAATTGTTGGTTATAGAGATAAGCGATGATTCCAGGATTCTTCGGTATTGAGTGTTGTCTTCTGTGGCGATGAGTCTCGAGTTTCTGTAGTTAATTAAATGGTTGTGTGAATTGCGATGTTGAACACAGGCATTCCTTGTATCGTCAGTCCTGCTTGCGTATTGGTGTTCTGAAATACGTGTTTGGAGGTCTCTTGATGTTTCGCCCACGTATAATTTGTTGCAGTCATTACAAGGGATTATGTATACCCCTGCAGAGGGTGGAAGTTTGTCCTGTCTACTACTGGTGATGTCCTTGATGGTCGTGGTTGTGGAGGTAGATACTTGGAATGATGTATTGGAAAAGATGTTGGAAACATGTTTGGCAATGGAGTTGGTGGGGAGGACTATGTATCTCTTCTCGGCAGTGTCTTCTCTGGGTGTGTTGAAGATGTTTAATGCCCGCCGTCTGCAGTCTCTGATGAAGTGACGAGGATAGTGGAGTTTTGAAAATACTTGTTCAATTATAGTGCATTCTTTCTCAAGGAACTCATTGCTGCAGATTCTGAGTGCGCGCAGGAAGAAGCCTATAATTACACCACGTTTAGTTTTGGTGTCGTGGTGAGAGTAGAAGTGGAGAAGATCGTTTTGGTTGGTTGGTTTTCGATAGACTTTAAAACGAAGTTCATGGTCAGTTTTGCAGACAAGAAATTTTCCAGCCTTGACGTAACTTTCCTATTCACCAAAGTACCTACTACACAAGCCATTGATCTCCTGCGCAGAAAAATTGACGATTCACTTGATCTTCCTATTCCAGCCAGCGATTTCGTCGACCTCGTTGAACTATGTGTCGGCTTTACGTGTTTCTCTTTCGAAAATCACCTCTTTCAACAGACTTTTGGTCTACCCATGGGCTCGCCACTCAGTGCCGTCCTGGCGAACTTATACATGGAACATTTGGAAGCCGAGCGTTTCTCCACCATTATTCCTTCGACTGTCACCTGGCTCCGTTATGTTGACGACATTCTCCTCATAACTCCCAGACACTTCAACGTTCAAGCTCTCCAAGACAAGCTCAACCAGGTCGAGCCCTCAATCCAGTTCACACTCGAAGAAGAAGTCAACAACACTCTTCCTTTCCTTGATATTCTTCTCTGCAAAACTGACCATGAACTTCGTTTTAAAGTCTACCGAAAACCAACCAACCAAAACGATCTTCTCCACTTCTACTCACACCACGACACCAAAACTAAACGTGGTGTAATTATAGGCTTCTTCCTGCGTGCACTCAGAATCTGCAGCAATGAGTTCCTTGAGGAAGAATGCACTATAATTGAACAAGTATTTTCAAAACTCCACTATCCTCGTCACTTCATCAGAGACTGCAGACGGCGGGCATTAAACATCTTCAACACACCCAGAGAAGACACTGCCGAGAAGAGATACATAGTCCTCCCCACCAACTCCATTGCCAAACATGTTTCCAACATCTTTTCCAATACATCATTCCAAGTATCTACCTCCACAACCACGACCATCAAGGACATCACCAGTAGTAGACAGGACAAGCTTCCATCCTCTGCCGGGGTATACATAATCCCTTGTAATGACTGCAACAAATTATACGTGGGCGAAACATCAAGAGACCTCCAAACACGTATTTCAGAACACCAATACGCAAGCAGGACTGACGATACAAGGAATGCCTGTGTTCAACATCGCAATTCACACAACCATTTAATTAACTACAGAAACTCAAGACTCATCGCCACAGAAGACAACACTCAATACCGAAGAATCCTGGAATCATCGCTTATCTCTATAACCAACAATTTCAACCAGAACAATGGCTTCTATAACATAGCTGAACCACTTGCCAAGAAACTTTTTCATCGCTATCCCACATAAGAACATAGAACACTGCAGAAGGTCTGTTCACAACTTGTCCAATACCCCTGCCAAACTACCGAAGACTCTATAACGCAACCCAGTGGATCATCAGATGCAGCATTCTCCACCTGACCTCAACATTCTGAGCCTGACTATAAATGCTCCCGTACCTTCCACCCCAGGTAGATCTGTTTGTGACTTGAAAAAGCCCACTGTGTGGGTGAAACGTTGTCAATAAAGGATCACATTAAACTGTAAATGTGTTTAGGTTTCCATATTGTCGGTATTTTATACCATTTATTGTCATTGTATATTATCTAATGATTTTTGCAGCAATAGAAATTTTGGATATGGGATTTTTAATAATGTCCTGCTCTCACTCTTTCTGTATAAAGAAAACGTGTATTTTGTTAGGTTCTTTGGCGTTTACCAAGATATTTCAACATTTGTTTTATAATAGTTTTAAAGAAATACCTAGTGTATATTGTAATTTACTTGAGCATAACTTGTACATTTGTGTTTTAATTTCCTCATTTGTTATTTATAAACTTTTTTAATGCTTGTAACATAGTGCATATGTAACTTCTGTGTTGAGTAAAATTTTGTTTTCATGCTTATGCTTAAGAAATCTTTTAGCTGTGTATTTTCTTGTATGTACAGTAAACACTGAAAAATATTTAAGTTTTTTGTTTTTTCTTGTGTACTGTATAACTTCTCATAGATTGGGTAGGGATCAGTTTTGAAGATTGGCACAACATGAATTTCAAATGACACCACTAACACTCATGTGTAGATTTAATAAAAATGTGTTTGGTGCTTTTGTTCAATAAATGTATGAAAGAGGGGAAGGTACCAAAGAATTGGCAGAGAGCATTCATAGTTCCTTTGTATAAATTAAAAGGGGACAAAAGAAAGTGTAAGAATTAAAGGGGAATAAGCCTGTAGAGGTAAAGTGTAGAGTTATTAATGAAAGAATTAAGGATAAGACAGCAGGATCACAGAAGAAAAAGGTTTCAGGAAGGGAAGGTGATGTGTAGACCTTGTTTCCATTGAAGCATATAGGTGAACAGTATTTAGATAAGGGTAAGGAAGTTTTTGTTGCGTTTATGGATTTAAAAAAGGTGGATAGAGTATAAATGGATTTAAAAAAGGGTGGATAGAGTATAAATGTGGCAGATTTTACAAGTGTATGGAATAGGTGGTAGGTTACTGAAAGCATTTAGTAGTTTTTATGAAGACGGAGTCTCAGGTTAGGGTATGCAGGCGAAAGATTATTTTCCATTAAAAGTTGGCTTTAGCTGGATGTGTGATGTCACCATGGTTGTTTACATATTTATATATGGGATTGTTTTTAAAAGAAGTGAATACTAGGTGTTGGGGAGAGGGGTGGGATTAAAATATATAGTATCTAATATGAAGTGGGAGTTGTCACAGTTGCATTTTTGCTGATGACAGTGTACTTTTGGGAGATTCTGAAAAATTGCAGAGGTTGGTGGACGAATTTGAGAGGGTATGCCTTGGTAATAGATGGCCTGTATGTTGAAAAAATAATGTAACAGGAGGAAATTGAACATGAACATAGGAAAGAGCAAGGTGATGAGAGTAGCAAAAAAAATTTAGGTAATGAAAGATTGGTTATCAGATCGGAAGGAAGGATTATTTGAGAAAGTAAATGTGTTCATATATTTTGGAGTGGACTTCTCAGTGGATGGGTCTATGAAAGACAAGATGAACCATAGAATTGAGGGGAAAATGATGGGTGGAGCATTGCGGTAACTGTGGAGACAAAGAACATTATCCATGGAGGCAGAAAGGAATGTATGAGAATACAGTGTTACCAATACTCTTATACGGGTGTGAAGCATGGGCTGTGAATGTTGAAGTGAGAAGGAAGCTGGAGGCAGGGTCTAAGGGTAATGGGTAGTGTAAATATTATGCAGAGTTTTCATAGTCTGGGGATTAGAAGGTGGTGCTGAGTTAATAAAAAGTATTACCCAGAGGGCTGAGGAGGGGTTGTTGAGATGGTTCAGACATTTAAAGAGGATGGAACAAAATGGAATGACTTGGAGGGTGTATGAATCTATAATGGAGGGAAGGCAGGGTAGGGTTACCTCCCCTAGGAAAGGTTGGAGGAAGAGGGTGAAGGAGGTATTGTATGTGAGGGGCTTGGACGTTCTGCAGGAGCGCATGCATGTTTGTGTGTGCGTGTGTGCGTGCATGCGTGCAGTTGGTTGAAGAGCTGTTGGAGTGTGAGCAAGGTAACATTCATGAAGAGATTCAGGGAAACCGATTAGCTAGACTTGAGTCCTGAAGGTGGGAAATACAGTGCTTGCACTCTGAAAGAGGTGTGGATACACTGTATTGCAGTTTTGAGGGGCATCTGAACTGTAGTATTGGCATGCCTCTGGAAAGTCGGTGATGGGGTGAGTGATGGTGAAAGCTTTTTTTTTTTTTTTTTTGGGTCACCCTACCTTGGTGGGAGATGTTGGTGTGCTTAAAAATAGTAAAGTTAGGGTTAGAAATACTTGTTTGTTGATGTTACTAAAGTATTTCTTTATACACAGGTTTCAGGTAAACAAGCAGTTGTAAGAATACCTTCTCCTAAAACTCCCAAAATGAACGAGGTAACGCAAGAGGAAGTTTTCAGTGTCCTGGGGATTAATTTAGAATTGGGCAATGGTGTTAGTAATGAGAACAAGAAAGATGACACATCACTAATAAGAAATGAAGAGTCCATAGAAGCTGTTGCTGGTGGAGTGAATGGCTCAAAAGTTGAATTGAATGGGGAAAAATTGACTGATGATGATGTTCCTAAACAAGAAAATGAGCTGAAGGATGAAAATAATGAACACAATACAAAAAACAGTCAAGATAATGAAACCTGTTCAAACATTGAGGAACCCGGAATAAAGAAGGAATTAAATGCTGAAGTAGATTTAGTTTCAGAGAATGATACTTGTGTATCCACTCATAGTGTTGCAACAAACATAGATTCCTCTGACAAGGTGAATGTAGATCTTAAAGATGCAAATAATAAAGCTTGTCTGAATTCAGATATTGAGGAATCCATAATAAAAAAGGAAACAGTAGTAGAAGAGACAGTTTCAAATAGTAATACTTGTGTATCCACTCATAATATTGCAATAAATGTAGATTCTGCTGACAAGGAAGTAAATGTAGATCTTAAAGATGCACACAATAAAGCTTGTCTGAATTCAAATATTGAAAATAAAATGGAGGTTCAAGAAAACATAGTAATGGAAGAACACTCTGAATCATACTCTGTTATTGAAAAAGCAAGCAGTTTGCCACTGAAAGAGAGTGAGGCATGTGATGAGTTAGTTGCTGAAAAAGAGCCAGTATCAAATGAAAAAGAAAGTAATGATATTGAAAAAAAAATTAATAATTCAGAAATGGAGAAGTCTGTGGTTGAAGATTTGGATAAAGATATAGAACCAATGGAAGAAGGCAAGAAATTGAATTCATTGAATGCTACAGATAAAGAAAAAGAAAGTGAAGTTGAGGATGTAGACAAAAGTGTTGACAATGCCATAAAAATGAAAACAGTGGTTGAGGATTCAGGCAATGAGGCAGAACAAATGAGTGAAAGAAAAGGACCAGATTCATCAAATAATTCAGATAATGGAAATGAAGAGGATACCTCAGATTCTGGAGAACATGGTAAGATGAACATAATTGCTAATATTTTGTTGAAAACATTTTTGTCTATCTTGTGATTACTTACAGAATGATAAAAATTTTGTCTGTCTTGTAATTATTTACAGAATGTTTATCTTCCCAGTCTAACTAGATTTCCTGGTTATTACCTTAATCAATCAGGCTGTAGATGCAGATAGGTAAAAGTCTGAAATATTCACCAGAACTAGGCTGATCTGAGATTTATATGGGGAAAAAAATGGTCAATTTCTCTTTAATTCATTTATGCATCTGATGGCAACTTGTGCTCTTTTTGACAGGAGGATATTGAGAAACCTTGGGCTATTAATGTTGTTAGTTAAACCTTTCTTTGTTTAATGCACCTCTTATTTTTCACTGAGGTTTTGTTTCATATTCTGCTTGACTACCTGCACTTAATCCCCCTCCATTTTCACTGGAGCTACTTCATGCTCTGCTTTGCTGCCTTCATTCATTAGAAATTGGAGTGCAGATCTGGAATTGCTTCTTCCATTATTCTCTAGATGTATGTATATAAATGTTTTTTCTTTGGGTCACCCTGCTTTAGCAGGAGACTTCTGTTAAAAGAAAAAACAGGTATGTATGTATATATGTATGTACTGTATGTGTGTATGTATATATATATGTGTGGGAGGTGCAGTGCCTGCAGTCTGAAGGAGGGGTGGGGATGTTGCAGTTGGAGGGTAAACTGATTTGTGATACATAAACAGCTTGCACATAGAATTGTATGATGACGTTTTGGTCCGACTTGGACAATTTACAAGTCAGACACTAAGACATGAAAGTGAGGGAGCGAGTACATTTAGGAGAAGGGGACAAGGATGGGACAGAAAGAAAGAAATGGTGGTAGAGATAATGCTGGTAGTAGAAGTGGTAGTGGTAGTAGTAAGTAGGGGAGGAGTAGTGGTAGGCAGAAAGGGGAGGGAAGCAAGGCAATAGTAGTAGTAGTATGGAGTGGTAGAAGTGGAGTAAGTCCAAGGACAAGAAAAAGGAGCACTGCAGGATAGCTTATGGCCCTCAAGGGTGAGACCAAAAACACCAGTGGGAAAACACTGAGGGACAGAACACACCTAGGCAGAAGAAAGGAAGACAAAGAAAAATAGGTAAGGAGAAGAGGTAGGGAGAGAAGAAAAGATCAGGTCAAGTTATATGAGTGTTCTGAAGTTTGAAGCATTTGACAGTGTAATGAGAAAGGAAGGCATCTACAGGGACAAAGTTTTTTATAAGGAATGCTTCAACAAGATGGCATCTGTGTAGGCTAGAAGAGTAGACAGTTCTAGCAGAAGACCAGTCAATAGGATGACTCTCTGACATGAGTACTACTTCCACTACCAGCATTACCTCTACCACTACTACTCCATTTCTTTCTTCCTCTCTTTCCTGTCTCTGTCCCCGTCCCCTTCTCCTTTATATACTGGCTCGCTCACCTTTGTGTTAGTGCTACTTGTAAATGGTCCAAGTCGGACCGAAACATCGTTATAAGCTTCTCTCTCTTGTGAGCAGGTTATTTGTGTATTGTTCCAGTCATGTTATTGTGCCTTCTGTTCTTCTGAACTGTGATGCCAGCACACTTTAGGAAAGAGTGAATCAAAGATAGTGAGTGTTTTCCACTTCAAGTCACCTTGCTTTAGCAGGAGACAATCACTTAGGTAAAAAAAAAAAAAAGTGTAAGTATTTACTTACATACATCTTTATTTAGTTTTTACACACTAGCCGTCTGCCACCGAGGTAGTGACTCAAAAAAAAAAAGATTTGCATTCACCATCATATATTCAAGTGCTCTCTTTCCAGAAGTGACCTGACATCATAAGTCAGATTGCCCTCTGATGGCAATATCCGCATCCCTCCTGAGTCCGTGCATTTTCCTTTCCTCTTGCAGGACTTTAGTCTGGCTAACTGGTTTCCTTGAGTTCTTTCATAAAGTTACCTTGGTCACACTCCCATATCATATCCATAAGATTCTTAACTGTGGAATGTCCTGAAGTTAACCCTTTGAGGGTCCATGCCGTAGATCTATGTCATGAGCTCAGCTAAGCTGTGAGTGGTAATTTTGGGCCTAGATATGAAAATTCATCTGTATGGTAAGTGTGCACCATATAAAACAAATCCTGCAGCACGCAGTGCATAATAAGAAAAATGCGACTGTTTTTGGCTTAAACCGAATTTGCAGTATGTATTTGTATAGTTTTTATGGTTGTATTCACGGTTTCTTAGTCTCATTTGATAGAATGGAAGATGTATTACAGAAATAGAGACGATTTTGATCAGTTTTAGTAATGAAAATAACTTGAAATGTTCAATTTTTGCCGATATTCTGGAGTAAACAAATGATGTCATGCATCTAATACACGTTGACTGGTGAGTCTAATATACATTCAATAATGTCCTGCTATTATTTATACAATTATAGTATTACAGTATTGCATAGCGGTAAATCTTATATTTTTTGTTGTGAATAAAAATTTACGTAAATAAAAAATGGAATTCATCTGTAATGACTGGAAACATAAATAATAAACAGAGGAAATGTTATTTTAGTGCCAGGAATGCCTGCATTTTTTTTGTGGGTCCTATTTTGAAATTGGAATATTTTGAACTTTGTGTGAAATTGGCCAAATTACCAATTTCTGATCACTTTATTGGGTAGTTGAAATAGTTGATTGGGCAGTTTCTTGTGCTCAGTCAATGAAATAGAAGTATTACTAGCGAAATAGCTAAGAATTTGGTCGACTGGAATAATGTACGTAATTGGCCTAAAATAGTCAGTGGTCAAACTCGCTGATGCATAAATATCGCTGTTGTAGTAAAATTCGTGATAATGTAATTTCGTCAGTTTTCCATCAGATTCTCTACCATTTCATAAGAAAAAATAATTTTTTTGGAAAATTCTTGTACACAAAGAGTTAATTATATCTTGTTACAAGATTTAAAAAAAAATCTTGCTTACAGATTGAAAGAGTACGTTTTCATGAATCGAATAAGGGTAAAATGAGTGGAATCTATTAGGTGTGTTGAAGGTGGTGAAAATATGACCGTTGGCAACAGCATTATAAATGAGCCAACTATTTATATTTTGCAATTTATTGACACCAGTTGATGATTGCATTTCAGTTTTTTATTGTTTTTAATATTGTACTCTATATATACTAGTCTTTTATGATATTAGATATTTCAAGTGTGTTTTAGGTCCTTGAATAACATTTCATTATGAAGTTTTGTTAACACCGATGAGAAAAAAAATGAGCGAATTCAGTGAATACAGATTATTGTAAAATAAAAATTCGTAAAGTAGTATACGATAATCATACAAATTCACAACTATAAATAATGTGGTATGAAAGCACTCAGCAAGCCCACCATACCTGTCATACTTTGTTTTTGAACTGCGTGGTGGTAGGAGGTGCTCCTTACAATCTTCGTTTTGCAAATATTTATTCCTCGATTTAATCCTGTTGTAATGAGTGCTGAAGGTTGAAGGTGCACTGTGTACTGCTGATGTCTGTGGCCCCCCCCCCCCCAAAAAAAAAGTGTGACATTAGAAACAAAATTAGAAGTTTTGAAGAAGTTTAATGATGGACAGTGAAGTGTGGTTTCGTTATACGTCATTTCGCTTTAATTCGCAGTTTCCGAGAACCTATTGATGACATTAAGGACTTACTATACTTTAAACGTAGGGAAATGCTTAGCCTGGAACATATATTATAAATGGTCTGACAAGACTTGTCAGCGGATAGGTCTATGAAAGATGAGGTGAATCATAGAACTGATGAGGGGGAAAAGGTGAGTGGAACACTAAGGAGTCTATGGAGACAAAAAACGTTATCCATAGAGGCAAAGAGGGGAATGTAGGAGAGTATAGTGGTGCCAGTGCTCTTATATAGGTGTGGAGCATAGGTGGTGAATGTTGCAACAAGGAAAGAGCTGGAGGCAGTGGAGATGTTGTGTCTGAGGTGCAGTGTGAATATAATGCTGAGAATCTGTAGCTTGGAGATGATTAGAAAGAGGTGCGGGGTTTCCAAAAGTATTATCCAGAGGGCAGAGAACGAGTTGAGGTGGTTTGGACATTTAGAGAGGATGGGACAAAATAGAATGACTTGGAGGGCATATAAACCTGTAGTGGAAGGAAGGTGGGGTAGGGATCGTCCTAGGAAAGGTTGGAGGGAGGGGGTAAAGGTGGTTTGGTGTGCGAGGGGCTTGGATTTCCAGCAAGCGCTCGGGAGCATGTATGATAGGAGTGAGTAGAGATGAATCTTATTATGACTTGACATTTTGTTGAAGTGTGAGCAAGATAACATTTATGAATGGATTTGGGGAAGCCAATCAGCCGGACTTGAGTCCTGGAGGTGGGAAGTACAGTGCCTGTACTCTGAAGGGTGTTGACATGTTGCAGTTTTTTTTTTTTTTTTTTTTTAACTGTTATGTATGCACACACCTAGCCAGACAGTGATGGAGTGAATGATGATAAAAGTGTTTCTTCTTTTTCTGGTCACCCTGCCTTGGTGGGAAATGACTGATGTGTTAATAAAAAAAAGTTTATATTTATCACTTGTACATTTTTCCTGCTTGTTTTCTCTATTCTGTATTTTGGTATTTCTAACTTCATTATACATGATAGCCAAGCCAGTGTTTCCATTGCTAAATTTATTTCAGTGTATGTCTTTAAACTAAAATTTATGTATTAGATGACGATGGTTCCAACTCTAGTGATGACAGTTCTGAGGATAAGGAAAACAGTGACACACTAGATGAAGAGGACAAAGATGGGAACCCAAAGTCAGAAGAGAGCCAGAAAGAAGAAAAGAAGGCCAGACAAGAGGATGAAAATATTACGTATTCGAAGGCAGAGAACAAATATTATCGTAAAAATTTGGAGGGTGAGTAATAACCATAAATCATCATCATCATCTTTCAACAAACTGGCTGTATCCCACCAAAGCAGGGTGGCCCAAAAAGAAAAACAAAAGTTTCTGTGTTTCACTTCAGTATTGTGTACAGGCAAAGGGGGTTACTAGCCCCTTGCTCCCAGCATGTTAGTTGCCTCTTACAACATGCATGGCTTAGGGAAGAAGAATTCTGTTCCACTTCTCCGTGGAGATAAGAGGGAATAAGCAAGAACTAGCTAGAAAATAAGAAACCCAGAGGGGTGTGTGTATATATATGCTTGTACATTCATGTGTAGTGTAATGTAAGTGTAAGTAGAAGTAGCAAGACGTACCTGAAATCTTGCATGTTCATGAGACAGAAAAGACACCAGCAATCCTATCATCATTTAAAACATTTACAGGCTTCCGTTTTAAACTCACTTGACAGGACGATAGTACCCACCTGGGCAGTTGCTGTCTACCAGCCTACTACCTAGCATAACCATAAATATGTTTATGTAATTGTTGGATGTTATACCTCTTTTTTTATGGTGTAAAGAGTCATAATATTTTTGCAATAATTTATTTCAAATTTTTATACTTTTTTTTGTATCTGAGGCTTCATAACTTTTTTTGGTATTAGTGTTAGCCTGGTTAGGTTACTCTACGTATCAGAAAGTTACTCTACCTATCAAGTTATTCTACCAATCAGAAAGTTACCTTAACTACCATAAAGTTACTTTAGCTGTTAGAAAAATTGCTTTAGCTTTCAGAAAGTTACTTAGCTGTCAGAAAGTTACTCTAGATACCAGAAAGTCATAAGATGAGTGTCAGCATCTCATTGAATGGGCGGATCTGGAGCCCATGGTAAGCTAGTACTAAATGTATCGGGCTAGTGTTCTATTTACTAGCCTGCTCCATCTAGTGGTTCCAGTGTTGGCCTGCTAGTGTGAGGGCTGTCTAGTGGTTACAGTACTAGCCTGCTAGTGTGAGGGCTGTCTAGCAGTTCCAGTACTAGCCTGCTAGTGTGAGGGCTGCCTAGTGGTTTCAGTACTAGCCTGCTAGGGTGAGGACTGTCTAGTGGTTACAGGACTAGCCTGCTAGTGTGAAAGCTGTCTAGTGGTTATGGTATTAGTGTGAGGGCTGTCTGGTGGTGATAATACTAACCTGCTAGTGTGAGGGCTGCCTAGTGGTTACAGTACTAGCCTGTAGTGTGAGGGCTGCTTAATGGTTATAGTACTAGCTTGCTAGTGTGAGGGCTGCTTAGTGGTTACTGTACTAGCCTGCTAGTGTGTAGGCTGTTTAGTGTTTACAGTACAAGCCTGCTAGTGTGATGGTTGATATATTAAGTATTTTTGTCCCTCATGTTGAGTTGTAATATAGAAAGTGTCCTACCACTGTATACATATAGCCGTTGACATTTGGCAAGCTAAATTAACTTAAACTAATTGAGCATCAACTCTATATATCTTTGGTTAGGCCTCATTTAGATTATGCTGCACAGATCTGGTCACCGTATTACAGAATGGATATAAATGCACTGGAAAACATACAAAGGAGGATGACAAAGTTGATCCCATGTATCAGAAATCTTCCCTATGAGGATAGACTTAGGGCTCTGAATCTGCACTGTATAGAAAGGCGTAGAATTAGGGGGGGATATGATTGAGGTGTATAAATGGAAAACGGGAATAAATAAAGGGGTTGTAAATAGCGTGCTAAAAATATCTAGCCAAGACAGGATTCGTGGCAATGGTTTCAAGTTGGAAAAAATCAGAGTCAGGAAGGATATAGAAAAGCAGTGGTTCGGTAAGAGTTGTGGATCAGTGGAACAAACTCCCGGGTACCGTCATAGAAGCTAAGACGTTGTGTAGTTTTAAAAATAGGTTAAATACATGAGTAGGTGTGAGTTGGACGTGACTAGCTTGTGTTAGTACGTCTGATGCTGTGCTCCTTAAGTGAATGTGACCTGACCTGACTAGGTTGGGTCATTGGCTTAATCCAGTGGCAGACTTGGACCTGCCTCACATGGGCCAGTAGGCCTGCTGTAGTGTTCCTCCTCCCTAATCTAACCTTATCTAATATTATCAATGCTTAACCTAACCCTAATCTGATCTCTATGGCAGCTTGACTTAACTAATGCTGGCTTTGGCCAGTAGCTTAAGCCAGTAGGTGACCTGGACCTGCCTAGCAGTGGGCAGTAGGCCTGGTGCAGTGCTCCTTTCTATGAGTGAGTGTGAGTTGGACCTGACTGGCTCATGCTAATGGGTCTGATATAGTGCTCCATCCTTCTTAAGTGGATGTGACTTGCAACCGACTGGCTTCAGCCGGTAGCTTAGGCAGGTAGATGACTTGGACCTGCCTCGCATGGGCCAGTAGGCATGCTGCAGTGCTCCTTTCTTATATTCTAACCACTACAATATTACTGCTACGATACTACTACTATACACTATACTATTACTACTATACTATTACTACTATACTATTACTACTATACTATTACTACTATACTATTACTACTATACTATTACTACTATACTATTACTACTATACTATTTACTATCTATTACTACTTACTATTTCTATACTATTACTATTACTTAAAACTAACTACTATACTATTCTACATACTACTAATATTCTACTACAATTATACTATCAAAATAGTATTATTACTACTTCCACTGCTGCTGCTACTACTACTACTATTCCTGCTACTATTATTGCTACAACATCCCCCCAGTGAAAAGCAAGTGGCACTACTAGTTCATTAAGAGACAGCGCAGTGTCAGGGGCCCAAGATTGTTCAGCTGCCTCCCAGCATACATGAGGGGGGTTACCAATAGACCCCTCGCTGAATAGGCACGTAAAGTCAGTACCAGTTCAGTCAGGCTGTGGTTCGTATGTCAGTTTACATACAGGCAACAGTGACAGCCTGGTTGATCAGGCCCTGATCCACCACGAGGCCTGGTCACAGACTGGGCCGTGGGGTCGTTGACTCTGAAACCCTCTCCAGGTATACTCCAGGTAACCCTAGGTTGGTAGACAGCAGTCGCACAAGGAGGTACTACCATCCTGCCAAGTGAATGTAAAGTGGAAGCCTGTAATTGTCTTACACTACGGTAGGATTGCTGGTGTCTTTTTTTTCTGTCTCATAAACATGCAAGATATCAGGTACGTCTTTATACTTCTGCTTACAATTAGGTCCCACTATATGTGTGTACAAGCATGTATATACACACCCCTCTGGGTTTTCTTATATTTTCTTACTAGTTATTGACTTGTGTTTTTCCTCATATCTCCATGAGGAAGTGGAACAGAATTCTTCCTCTGTAAGCCATGTGTGTGTCGTAGGAGGCGACTAAAATGCCGAGAGCAAGGGGCTAGTAACTCCTCCTCCTGTATACATTACTAAATTTAAAAATAGAAACTTTTGTTTTTCTCTTTAGGTCACCCTGCCTTGTTGGGATTTGGCCAGTGTGTTGAAAAAAAAATTGTTAGTATTATTATTAATGAATTATGTTACAGTACACTGTTGTTTAAGACGGTAGCTACATTCCTGAAAATGGCATCCAGTTAAAAATGTGTTAACTGAAGTGAAAAATCTTTGGAGAAAATAGGATTACTTTCCTCTGATCCCCCAAAATGCCAAGTGAGTTTTTTCTGGGTCTTTTAATTGTAAAATATTATCTTTTAGTAATTACGAGTGTCCCAAAGTATCAGTATCAATGGGTAATGGCTAATTTTGATGGTATCATTATAAGCAAGTGCTGGGTTCTCTGTGACTGTTCTGGCTTGTAGTGTACCACAGGTTATTGTTTCTCAGATTGCTGTATTCTGAGGAGAAGGGTCCTGTGATATATTAGAAGCTGTAATAAGACATTGTATACTTGATCCTATAAATGTTTCAGGGATCTTGCCTGGATATGAAAATGCTGTTCCTTTTATAACTTGATTAATCATTTTCAAAGCAGATGTTTTCTACAGTCAATGACAGAGGCCTTGGTTCATCTCTGCCTCGAGCAGCCTTCCCTTGATTCAGGAGACACATCAAACTATAATCCTGTTTCAAACACATTCTCTTCTAAATTTATTAAATGGACTGACTCAGGAGACACATCAAACTATAATCCTGTTTCAAACACATTCTCTTCTAAATTTATTAAATGGACTGTTCTTGATTAGTTGTTTTCTGGAGCAGAGTACAGGCACTCCTCACATAATGACCTGCCTGTTTACCGACTGCTTGGACTTATGTCCAGCTCTCCGACCAGTTGGTATTGCTCACTGTATGAGAACATTGGTCATAGAAATGGCAGCACAGTGTCACAGCGTTAGGCAATCTCCAAGTCTACAGTGGTACCTTGACTTATGAGTTGGATTCGTTCAGTGATCGAGCTCATAACTCAATTTGCTCGTATATCAAATAAATTTTCCTCATTGAAATTAATTGAAATGCCATTAATCCATTCCAGCCCCCCAAAAAACCACCCCAATTTTTTTATTACGGGTTTTTAAATAAGAAAAATATTTATAAATAAGAAATTTTGTATAAAAACATAATAAAAGAGAAGGTAAAGAAATAAACTGGTTTTATAAAGTGTATTTACCTTGGAGATCAGACAACTTGGGCTAACGGAAGATGTTGGCAGAGGTGGAGGGTGGAAAAGATAGGCACAGGAGATTGGAGGAGGTCGTTTCGTTTCGTGCTTTTTTGGTCATTATCGTTTGTCATATGCTCCATCGCTTAATCGCTTAACTTACTTGCTATACTTTTAATGCTACACTTTATCACTGAACTTACTTGCTACAATTTTTTTTTTTTTTACTTTTTTTTCACTTCACTTTCACTGATTATTACCTTTTTTGCCACGCTTTCCTCACTTTCACCTGAAAGGCGTTTCAATAAAACCTGTCCAAGGAGGTGATTTTCCTCACTCCATTCTGCTGGGATCTTTAGTGTTGTAAAAGCAGCCCTGTGGTCAGACAATCCAACATAACTGAGGGGTTGA